CAATAGGTATTAAAGCATACATTTTATTTTCAAATAGTACTATCGTTGATTATAAATAAGCGCTTGAGACGGCACGGTCACTGCGGACCGGCGTCCGGAATAAGAATGCGTAGGTTTTGGTATTACGTCTTATTCTTTATTATTCATCAAAATATATTTATTATACAAGTAGGGATAGCGAGGTTCACGAGTGCGACGGCCGGCCTGAATAGGCGGACCGTTGCGGTGAGAGCTCGGCGCGACCAGCAAAAGCCTGGTCCTATGTACAGTGATAGGAAATGTGTTGGGGATATCGGCGTGTTACAGTCGCCGTATGGACGGGGTCAATATATCGTTGCGCTTAACTCGCAGGAAGCGGCTACAACGGTATATCGGACCCGGGGTTTGACACAACTCGATCAAGTGGCCAAAGGGGGGTCGGGGGGATCCGTTGGAGTCGGTGTCGATGGATGGTATCGGTCGGCGTTGTGTCGGCGATCAGTCGGTCACAGCGGCGGAAACTTCTGGCTACGACTCTAGTTCCTTGAATGTGCCAATGGATCGTCGTTCATGTACTGGACGCGTCGCTAGGCTTGGATCACCTCGTGATTGGTGGCGGCGGACTCGTGGCTGTCAGCGTTTGGATTGCCTATCGGCTGGTCCTCGGCGAGCGGCAATGCGGCGGGCTTGGGTAACGAATTATGGTCGGTTCACGTCTGGCTGCTAGTCTGCTCGTCGTTGACTGGTGGCGGGTTTCGTCGGAGTGTCAGGTCTTATTCTTCTAAGTGTTTGGAATGATACTGAATAGAAGGTTGAATGAAGACTGATGCTGATATGATGAAAGCGCCCGGTATATATACTGTGTCCCGTACCGACTAGTAAACGCGCGTATTGCCGCCGTGGCTGTTGTGTTTGCGTTTGGTACGGGAAGTGGTGTTGCCTGCACAGTTTTGGGGCTATGGATGTGGGTATGGTGTCGTTCGACGCTTCTCGGTCTTCCCTATACATCGATGTTGTTGTTAAGTGTTTGCAATAACTTGGGGCTTTGTGACAAAGGCGTGAAGTTATTCAAACGGATTGTTCTGTCATTCTGAGCTGTGATTGGTGGTCCTGAAAAGGACCGTTTTATGGTGGACGACAGTGTACTGTTACAACTCCCCCCCCGGATTAGTGACCGGGTGGCTCAGCGAGCGAGTCGGTTGCTAATTCTAATCCGACGGTTCGACGGCGTACTGATGCCCTGTACAGTGCTCGTCGTAATGCGTTGCGCGAGAGGTACCACAGAGGTGTCGTGTCGTCGGGGTTTTCCACGAGCGTTCTCGGTTTGTCATATCTGGCTAGTTGTTGTGTTACGTATGTGAATATTGTCGCTTGTGTGTTGTTATCGGCTGGTACATATTTGTTTATTGATCTTTCCGTGACCAATCTCCAATCGGTCGGTTTTTTCCACTTTTCTTCGTGTTTTCTTGCCGCGTTTACCGTGGTCACCCAGTTGATTATTGATTGGTGTTTTTCTCTGTTTTGCTGGCGGGTTTTGGCATCAATTGCTTTATTTACTGCTACAACTGATGCAAGTCCCGCGGTATTTGCTTCATTTGTCTTCAGCATTTCTTGTCTTTTCTTTGCTGCCGCTTGTTTCAAAGCCTCGTACTTTGTTGGTGCCATGACTGTGGTTTGTGTAATGGCTTGGTTGTTGGTATTTTACGGGTTTATATACTTTTTTCTTGGTCCTTGCCGAGTTGTGGTTGGCTGGTAGTGTCCCGTGCTGTGATTGGACCATTTTCGTGTATTTTATTGATCTGTCGCTTCTTTGTCCGTATAGTATGGACGGACTTCGGCGACGTTGATTAGCACTTCTTTATTGGTCTTCTGGTTTATGATTGCTAGAGTTGTATCACTTATTATCTTGTGAATTGTAAACGGTCCTTCATATAAGTTAAATAATTTTTTAATTTCATTATTTTGTAGGTTTGACAAGTGATGGTTTCTAGTTAGTACTTCTTGACCCACCTCGTATTTAATAAATTTTTTGTTTTTATTTTGGTTTGTTTCACGTTTTTCTGCTTTTGATTTTATTCTATCTGCGACTAAACACAACATTTCTTTTCTATTTGTGTCCTTTGGTTGTGGTGGAAATTTGATCCATTTTTCGATTATATTTTCAGGTTTTTTTCCTTGTAGTATTTCTATCGGGGTGGCCTCGGTGATTTCTGATTTCATTCTGTTCATCCAATATTCAATTTTTTCCAGATAGTTGGGCCATTTTGAGTGTTGGTCGTGGCAATACGTTCTTAATAGTCTCCCGATTTCTCTGTTATATCTCTCCACGGGATTTGATTGCGGGTGGTATTTCGTAGAGTAAACTGTTTTTATGTTTAATTCTGTTAGTTTGGCTGTCCATATTTTTGACGTGAATTGTGTCCCGTTGTCGGAAATTATGGCTTCTGGTGTTCCTACTTCTGGTATGTAGTTTTCGATTAATCTTTTGATTATTGCTTTTGTCGTGGCTCGCTTTAATGCATATAGCTTGATAAATTTTGAGAACGTATCTAATATTGCGAGAATGAAATGTGTTCCACCACGGCCGGTCGGTAAGGGACCCATAAGGTCTATTGATACCTTTTCCAATAATCTTGTTGGTTTGTGGGCTATCATTTTCCCTTTTGCTGCGTAGTTCAGTGGTTTATTCCTTTGGCATGTATCACAATTTTTTACGACTGTTGCAATTATTGTATTCATGTTCCGAAATTTGCATGCCTCATTTATTATGTGGTACGTTTTGTATTTTCCTGGGTGACCAGCTGATGAATGTATTTCTTCCGTCAGTGGTCTGGTCATGTGTTCTGGGATCATCACTTGCCATACTGTGTTGCTGTTCTGTCTTACGAATGTTACGCCGTTGATTTTTGTGACGTGGTTGTTGACTTGCATTTTTTCTATGTGTTTGTCCTTGGCTTGTTCAAGTGCTATGTTTTTTATTTTTTCCAACAGTGGTTTGCTGAGTGTTTCCATTACTAATTTGTTTAAGCATATTGTTTCTTCTGTCCTCGCCTCGCCTATTTGTGGGTATCTTGTCAGCGTATCGGCTGCTATATTTTTTTTCCCTTGGATGTATTCGACTTCATAGTTGAATTCTTGTAGCGCAAGTGCCCATCGCATTAACCTCCCGCTCGTCAATTTACATTGTTTGATAAATGTGAGAGCGTGATGGTCTGTTTGGATGATGAATCTATGACCAATTAGGTATTGGCGGAACTTCGTGCAACAATATATTATTGCCAATGTTTCGAGTTCTGTCGTTGTGTATCTTGTTTCGGCGGGTTTTAGTGTTCTACTTGCGAAGCCAATTGTTCTTCTTTCGTTATCTATTGTTTGAAACAGTTCCCCACCGATTGCTGTACTTGATGCGTCTGTATTCACATAGAACTTTTTTGTAAAGTCCGGGAATGTTGTTAAACTTTCTTCTGTGAAGGCCTGTTTTGATTTTTCGAATGCTATTTTATGGCGTTCCTCCCATTCCCATTTTTTATTTTTACGTGTCAGTTCTATCATAGGTTCAATTATGTGTGCGTATTTGTCTATGTATCTTCTGTAAAAGTTCAGGAAGCCTAAATAGCGTTGGAGTTCTTTCTTGTTGTTTGGAGCTCTGAAGTTATTGATTGTTTTGACTTTTTCTGGGTCCATTTTTATACCGTTGGTTGTTATTATGTGTCCTAAGAATGGTACCGTTTGTTTAAAAAATTGGCACTTATCTAAGTTTACCGTTACTCCGTAGTTTTTAAATCTTCTGAGCACTGTTCTTATGTGGTCGAGGTGTTGCTCTAAGCTGTCTGATGTGATTAGTATGTCATCGACGTATATGGTCACAAACTCATTTGTGTATGGTCCAAGAACTGTTTCCATACTTTTTTGGAATTCCGCTCCGCTTACGTTTAATCCGAATGGTAATCTTTTGTACGAGTAATTCTTTCCATTAATTAAGAAAGAACATGGAGCTCTGCTGTCCTCTTCCAGCTCTACTTGCCAGTATCCCGATCTTAGGTCTAAAGTGCTCATGTATTTGACCTTTTTGAATTTGGCCAGGATGGTTTCGATTGTTAGTGGACGTTCGCAGTCTGGTATTATTATTTCGTTTATTTTCCGGGCGTCGAGGCATAGCCTCACTTCTCCATTTTTTTTGAAAACCGGAACTATTGGTATTGAGTAGGGGGATCTTGATCTCTCGATAATGTCAAGTTCTAGCATTCTGTTTATTTCTTTTTCGACTGCGTTTAATTTTGCTATTGGGATTGGATATGGTTTTACCCGTATTGGTGTCGTGTTAGACAATCGAATTTTGCATTTGTGCCCTCGAATTTTTCCTGGGTATTTCGTAAAAACTTCTGGAAATTGTTCGAGAATTTCTTCCACGTATGCTTGTTCCGTTTTTGGTCTTATATTTATTGTTCTTGGCTTCATTGGTTCTGTCATTGTTTTTGTGTGTATCATTTCAATTTTTGATGTTGCTGCCCTTTCTCTGTTTGTGAACAGGGTTTGTACTGATGATTGTTCCGTACGCAATGTTAGTGATTGATTTTCGAAGTCTAATAATGTTTTGTATTTTTCTAGAAAGTCGTTGCCAATTATTGCTGATTCATTTAATCCCGTAATAACAATGAATGGTACTTGAATAGTGTGTTCTTTAATTTTAATTGGTAGTAGGATTTGCCTATCGACTCTCGTTGATTTGTTTCCAACTGCACTATGGACGTTTAGTCCTGTTATTGGTAATATTGGTGTGTGTTCGTTTGTTTCTATTATTTTTTTTTCTAGTTCTGATGAGATTACGCTTATATCTGCCCCAGAATCTACCAACATTTCGTGTTCTATGTTGTCTATGGTTACTTTAATGTATGGACATCCGTGTGTCTGTGTTTGTGTGAGTTCTTCGTCAAAATCGTTATTCTGAGACAGTTCTTTTGCAGTTAGGATTGTTGTACTCTCCTTCGGGTGCTGTGGGTTTGCTTTTTTCCTGTCGCATTTTATTCTGTGTATTCTGGATCTGTGGGATTCAATGACGGTGGGTGATCCTTCCCCGTCTCCCGTGTCCAGTTTTTTGGCATTTCATCATCGGTTTCTTCTTCGCTGTTTTTTGCCTGGTCTTGAACTATTGTAATTTGATTCACCGTTTTCTCCGCGTTTTTTCTGTCGTTTTGGAAGTGCTGTCTTCCGTATGATTGTGTGTGGGGTGTTTGATTTGTGTTTCTACTTTGGTGATATGTGTAAGTTGTTTTTTGTTTTGGGTTTGGATCGACTTGTTGATCTTTTTCGTCAATTTCTCCCAATTTCTCCCAAATTTTTAAAAACGTTTTTTCTGTGTTTTGTATGTATGCTTGTATTGCTATCGGGAAATGTTTAATGACTAGATTTATTGCTTGTTCTTCTGCGATTTTTGGTGAGTCAAGGTATTTTAATTCATCCATCCATTTGTGAAAATGTTCTTGGTAGTTGCCTTTTGTTGTTGCTTTTCCAGCTTCCGTGCATTTTATAAAAATGCTCCACTGTTTGTTTTCAGAGAAGAAGTTTTTTAAGAAAAGGTCTTTGAAGTTTTCGATGTTGCAAGTTGCGTCTTTTACCATTGTAAACCACTTTGCTGCCTTTCCTTTTAGGCAATTTTCGATCACGATCATTTTGTCGTCTTCAGCTATTTTTTTATGTATTAAGTATGTGTTTAAGTTTCTCAAGAATCTTTTCGGGTGGTCGGTTTGCTCGTTCCCTGCGAACGTTGGCATGGGCAACTCTACTGTGTTTGATCTGGTTGTCACCGTGGTGTCCATTAGTGTTTGTTTGTTTGCTATGTTGCTCAAATCTTTGTTCAATTTTTCAACGTTTACTACTGTTTTTGTGTCGTAGTCATTTATTAGTTGATGTAGTGCTTCGATGCGTGTGTTGAAATTTTCTTTCATCGTAGCTATATCGTCTGTCATTGTTCGTATTGTCGTTTCTAGCCGAGTGATTTTTTCTTCAGTGGATTCCATTATTGAGTTGTTCTGTTGACGTCTTGTGTTTCTAGTAATTTTGCTTCAGAGGTGTCGTTTCTTCTTGAGCAGTTGGGTGTGGGTGAACCACTAGTTGGGCGCCAGTTGAGACGGCACGGTCACTGCGGACCGGCGTCCGGAATAAGAATGCGTAGGTTTTGGTATTACGTCTTATTCTTTATTATTCATCAAAATATATTTATTATACAAGTAGGGATAGCGAGGTTCACGAGTGCGACGGCCGGCCTGAATAGGCGGACCGTTGCGGTGAGAGCTCGGCGCGACCAGCAAAAGCCTGGTCCTATGTACAGTGATAGGAAATGTGTTGGGGATATCGGCGTGTTACAGTCGCCGTATGGACGGGGTCAATATATCGTTGCGCTTAACTCGCAGGAAGCGGCTACAACGGTATATCGGACCCGGGGTTTGACACAACTCGATCAAGTGGCCAAAGGGGGGTCGGGGGGATCCGTTGGAGTCGGTGTCGATGGATGGTATCGGTCGGCGTTGTGTCGGCGATCAGTCGGTCACAGCGGCGGAAACTTCTGGCTACGACTCTAGTTCCTTGAATGTGCCAATGGATCGTCGTTCATGTACTGGACGCGTCGCTAGGCTTGGATCACCTCGTGATTGGTGGCGGCGGACTCGTGGCTGTCAGCGTTTGGATTGCCTATCGGCTGGTCCTCGGCGAGCGGCAATGCGGCGGGCTTGGGTAACGAATTATGGTCGGTTCACGTCTGGCTGCTGGTCTGCTCGTCGTTGACTGGTGGCGGGTTTCGTCGGAGTGTCAGGTCTTATTCTTCTAAGTGTTTGGAATGATACTGAATAGAAGGTTGAATGAAGACTGATGCTGATATGATGAAAGCGCCCGGTATATATACTGTGTCCCGTACCGACTAGTAAACGCGCGTATTGCCGCCGTGGCTGTTGTGTTTGCGTTTGGTACGGGAAGTGGTGTTGCCTGCACAGTTTTGGGGCTATGGATGTGGGTATGGTGTCGTTCGACGCTTCTCGGTCTTCCCTATACATCGATGTTGTTGTTAAGTGTTTGCAATAACTTGGGGCTTTGTGACAAAGGCGTGAAGTTATTCAAACGGATTGTTCTGTCATTCTGAGCTGTGATTGGTGGTCCTGAAAAGGACCGTTTTATGGTGGACGACAGTGTACTGTTACACGCTGTTGTCGCCCATTAGTTACTTTGGTATGGGCAGTGATAAAAAAGTTTATGGGTACACGCCTTAATCATTGAAAAAATAACGAAAAATAAAGGCTATACGCATAACTTGCGATCCACGGTTTTCGTTAAAGGTACACGCATAAATATAAAATTAGGAGGTGGGTGGGCTCCGTGTACCCACGTGTGCCCCCCCACTACCCCACTGCTCATGGGTGACAACAAACAGTGGCGTGCTCACGGGGGGGGTCATGGGGTTCAATCCCCCCCCCACTGACCATATTATTTTTATTTTTTATTGTAAAACAAATTATGCATCTTTATAATGTACTTGTCGAATTATATCATCATACAATTTCCCAATTCTTATTTTATCGTTAAATAAACATGCACTTTACCTGTTTAAACATACACCCCCAAGAGAACGTTTTCTTGTCTCAAAAGATTGAAATCTTATCTACGAAACACAATGACTGAGGTATTTTCTGGATATTAAAATAAAATTTTATTGCAATTTTTTTAACATTTTTTTGGTTTTAGACTCGACTTAATGGCTTAGCTATGTTAGCTGTTCACAAAGAAATGCCACTAACGGTAGAAGAAGTTTTAAATGAATTGAGCAAAAAATCAAGAAAACTAGATTTTATTCTTTAATTTTTGAATGTATCTGAGCACGCCCCTGACGACAGAGCCCCACAACGGCCACATACATATTATTTTGTCGATTTTTCGAGCTGCCTAAATACGTGCCAATGAGCGATCTATAGTGTTTATAATCAATGATACTATCTATACGTACGCGGGCTACGAGTATTATTATAGACTAAAGTAACGAGTTAATTAGTTGTAAATGTTTATAATTTTAATTATAAATGAGCGGGGTGGAATGGTCAGGGGCACCTCACAAAATGGCAGTTTTCTACTCCGCTAGTCTCATGGGATAATCTACAGACACGCAATATTCTGCTTGGTTAAACGGGGAGTATAAAGTTAAAAAAACGTATGAAATCAGTCTTAAAATGTACCTTAAAACTATAACTTGAAATGTAGTGAAAAAATAATTTGTTTTAAAAAATGATGTTTAGTTGTGGGTTTAAATTATGCAAAAAAAAACAATATTTCCAAAAACGTTGATAATTTTTGAGAAATAAGCGTTTACCTTTTAGCTTTAACAGATTCACCTTGAATGTAATACAGTAGCCGCGATTTATTGACGTCACGTGTCGCACGATTAATTCCTCCAGTAGGCAATTAGTTCCTACACCAATACAGTATGTTATACTAACATGTTTTTCTGTGATAACTTAACCTTATATAACGGTGCGTCCCCTGCCCCACCCCCTACTGTACACCTATCGACAATATTTTCCGCTAAGCACGCTTATTGAAATACGTGCTGTTTTGGGTATTTTGGTGTGTGTACCTATACTGTGTATAATTCCCAATTTTGGACTGAACAGTGGCGTAGACCCCCCCCCCCCTTTGCCTTTTTATTACCTTAGTAAAAAGTTTTGAGAGAGTGGGGGATTTTCCAATTTTCCCCTCCCATTTAGCTATGTCGTTTTTTTTTTGATTTCCCCCCCCCCCTTTCAGAAATCATTTCTACGCCCCTGGGACCGAAGACTGCCTAATAATCCTCGTGATGGTTCGCGTATGGTTGACGGTCGTCTTGTTGGGCTGAATAATAAAATTATACATGTCACAAAATGTCAAATATACCTAATACCTATATTGGCTATATAATATTATTTTTTAACGTTATTAAAACGCGAAACCTGCAGCGATACTCCGAATATAACTTTGATCATAATACGATGGTGACTGGTGAGCGGAGCTAAGACGCTATAAGTCCCAAGTGCTAGTTGTTATTGTATGTTCATATACTTTATAGGACAGTAAAATGCAAAGTACCTACAGATTATTGTTATATTATATTATACTCTTATTCAGAATGAGACGACACCAGGCGGCCACGGTCAAAACCGGTTTTGCTACGTAAATCAGGTGTTCTCTTATTCTGAACAGACTTCCTATACTATAAAATTACAAGGAAACCGGCTGTCTACAAGCAACCCGTCCTATACTATAATATGACAAGGAAATCAGCTGTCTACAAGCAACCCGTGGAACGGAAAACGCAGGCTATAGTGAAACCGTGACGTAAAAAATGAAGCACCGCTCCGTTTCCCCAGCCCGCCGGCCTTGTCCCGTCGATTCCTTATAGCGCGACCAATCGCGTACCTTCGCAGCGGCGGCGGTCGGTTTTAAAACGTTTTTCGTTATCACCTCTTTTCCCATCATTTCGCCGATTTTTGAAATTTTCCGAAAATTACCTGGATTTACACGATTTCGACCCTTTTCGTCCTTTTTTATACCTACTTAATTCGAAGCCGCCGGTGTGCGGTTTATATTCGTGCGCCGTCCGAAGCGATCGCAATGTCGATCGAAAAATACACTCCCGACCGGACTTTTTTGCCGATTTTTTCCATTTCTCCCACCGTTTCGTCTATTCGCACTCCGTTTGTGCCCGAATCGTGTAGTCGACGTCTTTTTAAAGCCGTTTATATGGGCTTTTCCCCCGAAATCGGTTCGTTCGCCTCGCAATCGCGTTTAGAAATTACGCCGGCGACCGACCGACCGTACGCGTATATATACATATATATACGTGTATAATTTAATTTTTCCCTATGATGTAATAATTATTACGGCTTAAGTGTTGATGTTTTGACCGTATTTCATATTTCAAACTGTGTCCAAGTAGGTTAGGCGTTAGGTAGGCAACACGTAGGACTCGAGTTCGAACCCGTCGTACGCTCGCCGGGCGTGGAAACCGTATCATTGCCATACGGTTTACACGGCCGCCCGAAACCCGACTTTTTTGCATTTTTTTTTCACTATATTTTTCATATAAATTAAATAATAATATTATAATAATACAGGAACATATTATCGTACATTATTATTGTTTAAAATCATTGTCATATTATATCACACAATAAATAGGTACATATTATATTAATTGTTTTATTAGGAATTATTATAATTGCATATTTTTTAAAATGTCCATGATTGTTATACAAATATAGTTTGTATTTTATTTCGGATTGCCTACCTAGGTGGTTAACTTGAAAGTTAATCTTGACTTTGACTTGAGATGACTGACTTGCTAGACACTCCAACACGGTTGTCGACTTTACACTTTTTACATAAGAAAAGGCACCGGGCATGCGAAGGCACATACCACTATATGTGATATACCTACTACATATAGGTGATAGACGGATTGCTCATTTTAGTTTCGTCTTAAACGGTGATGATTGCCTTGATGGACACTTTAACATGCAGGTTTTTGCATTTTTTTTTAAATTAATATATATACACTATAGGTACAATAGGTACATGTTTATATGTATTGTATTGATTAATATAATAGTATGTGTCTAACTATCTACCTATAAATGTTAATTTTTTTTAGGAATTATAATTGCACATTTCTCAAAATGTCCATTGTTATATTATATCACACAATAAATACATATCATATTTGTTTGTATGTATATTGTATTTGTATATAGTTTTAATTTTTCGTAAATTATGTGATAGGGTTTTCACTTATAGCCGCTTGACGTCGGGTCTGCAATCCACCACAGGTGGATTGCCTACCTGATTTGCTGTAGCACATTGTCCGCGATCCGACGAAGTCGGATTGCCTACCTAAGTGGCTAACTTGAAAGTTAATAGATTTTAACTTGAGATGACTGACTTGCTAGAAACTCCAACACGGTTTTCGACTTTACACTTTTTACATAAGATAAAGCACCGGTCA